TCAGACAGCAGGAGCCAGCAGCACCCCAAGATGCTCCCAGCCCTAGCAGGGAACACGACAGCATGCGACACTGGGGGTCACGGTCCCCGCAGCAAGACGGATGCCCGCTCTTCTCTCCAGCCCAGCTGCCGGGGGAGCAACACAGATGGCTGCAGGTTCCCAGGATTAACCCCAGAGGGAGGATCAACGCTCCCAGGCGTTGAAGGCACCCCCAGACACCAGCCTTGCCTTCCTCGGCAGCTAGCTGGTTGCCATTTCAGAGCCAGACATGTCACCAGAGAGCTGGGAGGAGACAGCCCCAGCCGGTAGCTCTTAAACTTACTAACTCTGTCGTCACGTGCTGGGCAAAGCCGATGGGGGCGATGCCGTAGGTGCCGATGACCAGCAAGGTGATGAGGATGTGGACAAAGGTGATCCAGTATGTGAAATACGGCCTGCGGAGGAAAGGACCCCAAATTTGAGCAGCTCAAGGATGGCTGGGCAAAGGGATGCTGCAGTCCCGCAAGCATGGAGGGGGTCGCACACATCTGAGTTACAAGCTGGGGAGTCCCGAGGAACCCCGTACCCATCCTCGTCCCATCAGTCCCCCCTCACCGGTGGCTGTCGGTGATCTCCAGCTGCGACTGCACGATGCTGCTCAGGCTGCGGCGGTACGTCCTGTTCAGCCACTTCCCCACCACCCCCAGTCCGTAGTAGCGTTTCTTGCGGTCAAAGGCGAAGTGCTTCACTTTGGAAGCGATGCGCCTGCCTCGCCGGGGAGCTGAGTCAGCACCGGCAGAGGCTGAAGCGAGCCGGACCCCCTCCTGCCTGCGGGGAGAGGAGAAACCCATCGCATCTGCCGAAAGGAGCCAGCAGAGAAGCACCCCACGTGCCATCCCACGGCCACAGCCCGGAGCTGGGGAAGGCCAGAGGAAGCCTGGGATGAGGGCTAGGGGCACCTCTGGGATTCATCCTACTAGGAGCACGCCAAAAGTGCCCAGTGCCCCACAGCAGGAACGGCTGGGGACATTGTCCTGACTGTGGCAGGTGACCTGGGCAGTCAGTCCCCACCGAGCGCTGGTACTCACGGGGTGGGCTGCTCCACCTCGGGGGACATCCTGGCATCCTCCCCCACCGGGTGCATGCGTAAATACGTGGCTGATAGAGGCGGTGACTCGAAGACATCATCGGGCATGGAGTACGTCTCGTCGTGCATGTCCATCTGGAAGGAGGACGGAGACGCGTTCTTGGATGTGTGCAATGGGTGAGAGACCTCCCTCTGCCTGAGCACACCCACCACCAGGCCAGCCTGGCTCCTCCTGGCCCCGGAGCCTGGGGAGGGGGTGATCCCCATCAGCATCCCCTTAACTGCACATCACGGGGTGTGAAACGTGCCCACGATGGCAGCGTTGCTCCCTGCCACCCCCAAGGAGCATCACCGGGACCAGGGCTCTGCAGCGCTGGGCACAGCGGCCACTGACGCCCCGTCAGATCCCCACTCCACGTCCAGTCCCCGCACGGGGGCATCGGGACCCCTCCCTGGTCCGGCAGCCAGCGTGGAACGGCGCTTGCCTTACTGAAGAAGGACGAGTCCAGGGTATCGGCAGCATCCACCATGTCCTCGTCCATGAAGCTGGGGTACATGAAGGTCCTCTTGTTGATCCTTGGCTTGGGAGCCAGTGGCTCCAAGACAGAGCGTCCCTTCGGCAGGTGAAGCAAACGAGGGTAAGCAACCAGAAGGCCCCCGGTTTTTCCAGCACTGAGAGTTTCCTGTGGCTTCCCTCCCCAAAGCTGAGGGGCAAGGACTAAATCCAGAGTTGCTGCCTCCTCCCCTCGCGTGGGAAGGGCAGGCACCAGGAGCTGGCAGCAGATGATGCCATGACCTCCTCAGAGCCACCATTGGACCATGACTGTGTCAGTCAGCACAACAAGTGAACTCTGAATCCCCTATTCAGTCTTGGACCCACAAACCCAACCCAGAGCTCCCCAGGGGCTAGAAAGCCACTGGAGAAGCTTCCCCTGCAGCAAAAGGTCTCCTGGCTTTTTGGCAGTGAAACCCAGAAGCTGGTTTTTTTTTTCTAGGGATACTGTACAAGGTAGTTCCACTTTGGTGGTCCAGTTTTCACCAAAACTTCTCCTTTTAAGCAAACTTCAGGTTAAAAAAAAAACCAACACCCTCCCCCTCGAACCTGCCCTGGAGAGATGGTGATCTTTGTACAAGGCAAAAAGCCAAGAAGCCAAGATGATGGGCAAGGGATAGAGCTGAAACTCAAGTCAGGAAGAAGATGACACACACCCTCCACCAAACCCGCCTTCACTTCCCCAAAAAA